TTTTCACTCCAAATATATAAATATGTTGTAATAATACACAATACAATGTATCAAATGAAATACATTATTTTTCAGTTCAATCTTCTTGTTGAAAATCTGTTGCTCTAAACCTTAGAAAAATGTTTGAAATTATAATAATCTAGAAGCTCAGTTCTGAGGTTTTGCTGGAAGACAGGATCAAAAGCAATCCTCTCATTATGTAAATAGCCTTTCTGGTATAATCAATAAAGTCACACCATTTGGCCCCTGACACACCCATTTGTCCTTGAACTTGGGCATAATAGGGATGATTTGGTTAAGTCTACATTCAGTGTCACTTATTTTTTCCATGAAGGAATTGGGATCAGAACATGCTGCCATTTGGGTGACATGAAACTTTGTGTGTGGGCATTTTACCTCTCCCAAACCAAAGCAGCTTGGGTCAGCAGCTTTTATTTAAGTGTTAACATTGTAGTGTTGTACCAATTCACAGTCATGGAGATCGAATACTTTGTGTCTAAAGTTGAAGCGTGAGTCTCTCATACAGAAAAAAAACCTTGCTCTTAAACCCTTCTGCAACTACAGTTTATGCTCGGTATACATTTTTCCCCTATTTACCCTGAACTACACAAATCAACCTCATCATTTTCAAGAACTTTGTCTTTTTTGTTTTAAGGTTTTTCCAGATAACTTCATGCGTCGTGAGGTGCAAGCATTTGTTGTCAACTGCACCTTCATGGAAGATGGATGCCAGTGGAAAGGGGAAGTCAGACACTTGGAGGTAAAATATGGTAATTACAAAAAAGTACTGAAAACTGTGAGAATATATTAACTAACATAAAGTAGAAGCATCAGTGGTACATGTCCTATACACAGAAAAAAAAAACAGAGAACAAAATCAGTTGTTAGCTAGTTTAATATATGTGGTCCTTCAACTAATAATCTCTTTATACCATTATCAACAGGCCCACACCAACAGCTGTGAGTTTGTCAAACTCCCCTGTGTACATCCTGAGTGTGGCATGTTGGTGAAAAAAGCTGATCTTCCTGAGCACCTGGAAACTGAATGCAAGTGTCGACCTGAAACTTGTGGGTTCTGTAAAAAACAAATCAGCCTGAACAAGTTAAAGGTGTGACACATTGTGCTCTTTGTTGTACTGAATAATATGCTATCTCTGACGCAGAGTCATTATGATTTTAAGTATGCAAACAGGCACTTGTTCTGGGTTAACAGTGATTTGTTAAGGTTTTTTTCACATTTTTGAAAAGGAGTTTCTACGCATATGCTGGACACTAAAGCTAAATGTACATTCAAACGGACACAACATTGTTGGCCAACAACTCCCAACATTGTTGGATGTTACATGTTGCATGTTGTTGGGAGTTGTTGCAGAAAGTTTAAAACCGGTCAAACTTTTAAAGCTCCGTAAAACGGAGGCGACATTGTGGGCCAACAATTCCCAGCAATGTTGGGAGTTCTTGCGTCTGTTTGCAGGTAGCCTAATATTCATTAATTTTGAATGTACGTACAGACAACCTTGCAAGAAAACTGGTGTCTTCGGTGTGGATAATTTTCATTGACACTGATCTTCAAAAAAAAGAATAAACTTTTATTTCACTAGTTTAAAAAACAATCTTTGGTAGTAGATTCTTTTTCCTTTCTTGGTTTTAAATAAATGTACATTGTACAATGTCATATTATATGTCATTATAACTTTTTCTTTTCATGGTGGTGAGAAAGAGAAACAATATAGACAGCGGCTTACAGTGTATTTATTATTTATTTATAATTTCGTACAGCTGCACCAAGAGAAGGAATGTCCAGCATATCCAGTTGTATGTGAAAAATGTAACAAAGATGGAATTCCACGTGCAAAGGTACAGCTATAGACGACTGTGATGTGGCGTACTTTCGTTTTCAGACAAATCCAAATAAATTGACAGCTGTTTGTACCTAGTAACAGTGGGGCAGCACCTTATTCTCGTTATCTCAGACAGAGGAAGGAGAGACACCTAAATGAATATCACTTGATTTTCTGTGAAACTTACTTACAATTTTTTTCCTCATGAATTTAGTTGTAAACTGAGATGGTTGTCTTGCTTCTTACTAATAGCGTTTGCACTTCCTTTGTTTCCTTGAACAAGCAACCAGGCGCTAATGCAAAATGTCAGCTAAAAGGATAGGCACTTATTGGAAGGGAGGTGCTTAATTGAGGGGGGCGCTTATTAAGTTCTCCTGTTGGCAATCAAGCGTACCTTATTTCCGTTATACATTTTACACAAAGATGTATCAGTATAAATGTTGAAGTTGAAACTTAAAAGTGGCAATAGAAACAAGTTTTCATTGCATCCTTACTATTTAACAATTTCAATATTTAAATGATGGGGGAGCCCTGGAAGGCGGGGTGCTACTGATATTTTGGCCTAGGGGGGTGAGCCCTTATCCTGGGGACTGACAGGGCTCGACGTTGCGACCCGCGGGGTCGCCAATGCAACCAGCTTTTACTCAGTGGCAACCAAATTTTCACGCCTGGTCACCAACCTGTCTCCTAAGATAGGTGACTTTCTTCTTTGGGAAAAAGTACACTAAGGATAATCCGTTATCCTTCACAAAACTAAATCCATTAATTCTTAAATATAATTTTTGGCGACCAGAATACTTGTTCTGGCGACAAAAATGAAAACTTGGGGGCCAGCTGGCCCCAGTGTTTTTTTCTGAAAGTTGAGCCGTGGGGAGGGTGCTTATTTGAGGAAATAAGGTACAGGTATTCTTCTTGTAATATAGTGCCATATCTGGCATTCTTCAGGAGTACTGAATACAAAGGTTAAGTTCTGGATACTTGCACTCTCATTTCCTAACTGACTTTACGGTTGACAATGTGTCCTGGGATACTAATTTATCAGTATTGTTTTTGAGATTTGAATAAATTTAATGCAGTAGGCACAGTGTGTGGATGTCATGGCCAGGTCAGGTTTATCCCTCTACATTAACTCCTTTCTATTTATCTTTCAGCTGTCGGATCATCAGGATCCAGTTGTAGGAGACTGTGATGCAGTACAGGGACCATGTCCATTTGCACAGATTGGCTGCTCAAAGACCGAGGTATACAAGATTATAGATAGGTCCTTGATCCCAAACCCTTCCTTCTGCCTTTTTCAGATGAACATGTATCAATGCAAACAGAGAATTCTCTTCCGTTAAAAAACAAACAAACAAAGAATTGCTTTTTAGTAAAAGTACAAAAGGCAATTGAGTCAATAATCAGTACTGAAGAGATGTTCAAAATTGCTGGGATTGGAATTTGGCGTAAAAAATGTGTGAAGCCATTGTTCCACTCGGCATATTAATTTACGTCTGAGCTTCTGGTAAACTCAGTCTCCAGCCGTGGGTGTCTCGATGCGCCCACGGTACTCCCACGGGTGGGAACTGAGCCTAGGCTTCTGGCTGTTGGTCGACATACCCCGACCATCAAGGCAGTCATCTTTTTTCTTGTCACTGAAAATCGCCGGGGGGACTTCCACAGAAAAGTGACTGGTATGCTCGTCGGAAATTAAAATTTAAAACCCCTTGGGGAGACTAATGCGGGTGTGCGAGCTCGAGCTTAAATTGACCCCTAAAGGAGACCAAACTAAAACAGACATCAGGGCATTTTTGTCGATTTCTTTATGCACAGCCCTAAACGATACCTGAATGTGTAAATATAGTGACTTTCCCAACACCGTAAGTGAGACCAAAATCTGCAATTTACACCCAAAGCGAGACGACAAGCATCCCCGTCACTTTTATTTGGGAGACTCTCTCCCGGATAGTGCCGGGTGAAAATCTAATTACAGTTGTTGAAACTGAATAATTTTGCTTATAGTCTCAGTTTTCTTTGTAGGCTCTTAACTCAAGGCAAAAGAAAGAGCACCTTGAGAGAGACAATGTTTACCACACAACATTGCTTCTTCATCATGGCCTTAGGATGGGTCGAGAAATGGAAGCACTTTTGACTCGTGATCCAAGAACCTTGTCGAGAAGCCCGCATATCTTCACAAACTATGACGGTATCATCTCTGACATGCTCGCTCAAATTCAAACCAGTACAACGGAAACTAGGGATTTTAGGGAAAAGCTCAGAGAGCATAGTGAACGAATCACCTCCCTGGAAAGAAAAGTGGCCTCAGGAAATCTCACGGCAGCGGTCGCATCTTCTCAAGTTTCTGGTGATTCAAGTGCTGGTGTACCAAACATCGAGATTACACGAAGGGTAAACAACCTTGAGAATAAAACCGCTGACCACGAGGTGCTGTTGGTTGAAAGTAATCGTTCGATCGAGCAGGCAAATCGGGATGTGGGTAATGTAAGACGACTGGTTGAGACCGTCCAGGAAACCGTCAGAAGGGTGGAAAGAAGGATTGAGTCTATTGAGCACACTTTGGCTCTAAGGAACGTTACCTTGGCTGATTTGGAGGAGTACATAAGGCAACAGGAGTTTTCAAGCTACGATGGCCAATTGCTGTGGAAAATAACTGAGTTTGCACGTAGAAGAAATGAAGCAGTCAGCGGGCAGCAAGTCTCCTTCTACAGCCCTTGTTTTTACACCAGTCGCTATGGATACAAGATGTGTGCCCGCATTTATTTAAACGGAGATGGCATGGGCCGAGGAACACACATCTCTGTGTTCTTTGTGGTCATGCGCGGTCAGTATGATGCAATTCTTCGCTGGCCATTCAGACAGAAGGTCACGTTCATGCTGTTGGATCAAGATAATGTTGAACATGTGATCGATGCGTTCAGGCCTGATCCTAACAGCTCCTCATTCCAGAGACCGAGGAGGGAAACCAACATTGCAAGTGGGTGTCCGATGTTTTGCTCTCTGACCGAATTAAATAATCACGCTTATGTGCGAGATGATACCATGTTCCTTAAGATCATAGTCGACACGACTGACCTGTAGGCAGGATCGGGCGGTGTGTGCAGGATCTAATTAAGCCAGGCTTTAAGGCCGAATTTCTCTTGCTTTTTAGCTTAAGGACATTCGCGTTTGTACCCTTCCTTAATTCGCACACAAATCTTGCTGCTATGCCAATTCATGTCATGTATTGAGTGCGAGAGCAAAGGAAACATCAACAAATAAAAAATTATGACTTAAGTAATACAGTTTAAATGGTCGGCAATCCTTTCTTTTTCAAACGATAATTTTCAGTTCTTAGAAAATTTTCGATTTCTTTCCACATGTCTGCCCGCGGGACGTCGACTCCTCCCGAATGAGCTGTGAACTCATTCGGGGACGGGGGGAAGGGGTGGCCGGTCACTTATGAAATAGTTCTTTACTAGAGACATGTCGATTCCAGCAGGGCTGAAAAGTTGCATTTCAGAGATTCAATTGCAGTATTTTTTTTAGAATAACTCTAAAACAGATCGGAAGATTTTCGCGCGAACGTCCTTAAGCTAGATCAATGATTAGTGATGGGATGGTTAAGCAGTAAAATCTCCGTGATTGGTATAGAAACGTTTGTGACCAAGAACCAGCATGTCGGAAACTGAATTTGCTGATGAAAGCTCCTTAGTTTATTTCACTCATTTTTGAACAACGTAACACCCAGCTGCCTCTCTCAGTCAAGTATTATGCATCACGCTTTGTAAAACTGATCAGAACCGCACTAATCGAACCCACCATTTCCTGGCCTCAATTCTTTGTCCAGTGCTCTAAACGTGCTGTTTCTTATTTCATGATCGTTTAGGGAAATTCAAAAGCTCTCTTAAATTGTAAAACTGAACTTTTTTTGTCTCAGTGGACTGTTCCCTCGATCTTAAAAATACCAAAATCCGTACGGTCCCTACCCCTGTAATAAGGAACATCGGCTACTTGGTTCTTGACTGCTCACGACTTTAAAGGGGGGTGTTGCAGGGGGTTTATAGGTAGTAATAGATATCCTTGTTGTACACAAGAACCATCAGTGCCACTGGGTAATAGCTTTTATCTACCGGCTTTGCCACCAAGACCAAAGTTGTCCACGTCCGCGTTCGTAGCCCCTGGAAATACATTTTTTGTAGCCAAGCGACAACGGCCTAAGACGAGCTTTTCAGCGCTTGCAATGGCGGAATGTAGTGGCCTAGGACCTACAGTCAGATAAGCCCTAGGCCGATGTTTAGGATCAGGTGCCAAAGTATCAAGTTGTGCCTTTTTTTTCTTATTTCATACCGATTATTGTATCAGTGTTTTGTTTACAGAAAATATACGGAAGTTGATTTTGACTGTTACTGTTAAGAATGAAAATTTTGTCGCCTTTTTGTGGATATTGCAGATTTCTCTCGATCCACAAAAAGACATCCCCTTTATTTCTCTCTCTTGATTCCAGCACAATGAGATTCTGCAAAAATTTACCCCCTTCTGGAATCAGTTCATTACATGTAAAAATGCTAAAAGTGGCGTTACTGGAGGAATTGCTCGGACGAAAGCAAAAACTAGTTCTACTAGGCTTTTTGTTTGATTTTGTTGTCGAGTAGGTCCTATAAGGCAGTGAACTGTCTGTAAAGTAGAACGTACTTGTCAAAGTATTAAATATTAAAATATTAATTTTCCTTCCTTACTAACGTTTGAACCGCTAAAATTTGTTCCCGCACTAGCCACAAATAAGCCAATTTCAAAGAAAAAGAAAACTTCCTCGAAATTTTCATGCTACTCAATAATAGTCAATAATTAGATTAAAAGCAGTCCTATTATGTGAGGTGGCAAACTTAACAAGAAAAAGTAAAAAAGAAGCCGTAGTCGATGTGATCAAACCGGAAATATATGATCCTAAAGTGCATGATTTCAGTCTTTGAATTGTTCATATTGAGATGATTAAATAGGTTTTTGGAATGTATATACAGAGCTTGTAAATAGCTATGTACAAAATGCTGTTACTAATTATTCTCCTTATATTTCAACATGATTTCGTCGCCCATTTGTTAAATTTATAGTCTAGGGAGGGATCTTATGTAATAAGACCCCACGACTTCAATTTGAGCTTCCTCGCCAGAAAAATACGTGTAATTTTTCCCCGTATGTAGTTTACGTCACTTTTAACCTTTAACTATCATTTTTGCAATATGTTGAAGGACTGTATCAGTATTTTTTTTTCCTGCAAATAAATAAACTGAAGTGAAGCTGTAAATAGGTTAATTTATATCATACTGTTTATTATTGACTTTGTAGTATTAAAAACTTGTGTACGAGAACGTACCTGATTAAGAACCTGTAGGCTAAAAATCAGCCAAGATTGTTAGACATCCGTCTAGGCGTGATAATTTAAAAAATACGTTTAAATCGCTCAATAGGGACAGTCAAACCCCGCTTAACACGGATACCTCATTATTGCGGATATTTGCTTTGTTTGTGGGGAAAGAAAGCCCTTACATCGTTCTAATTGACTTTTTTTATTAATTATTTGTTAACGCATAATCAACCTCGTTTTCAGGGCCAAACAGGTTCTTCAGCTGGTTCTTGTACACGGGTCTTACCTTATCTTAAGAAGCGGGTATTAATAAATTGTTGTAGTTTTAATAGTTCGTAGGTTATCAAATAGTTGATACAGTGTAAGTGGTTGTTCTGGATAAGTTGCACTTTTTTTGTTATACAAACATAGTGTACCAAGTTCTAGTGAAAGCCCTCAAACTTTGTAAATGATTTGTAAATTATCCATGAAGTAAAATTGCCAGGGACTTAAAAACAAAATGATTCTAGTTTTAGTATAATCAGTTATAACAAACAGTGCCCCCCACGGCCCTCTTCTTCTCATCACCTTCTGGACCCCACTATTTAAGCTATACCGGATTTGTAACCCTTCGTGCTGACATGACGAGCTATTCGGTACAGTCAGAACAGCAACAACACAGAACTGGAACAAGTAGTTCACCCAAATCGAACCACGTCCCGGAGCGGTTGGCTGAGAGGGTTTGATGAACTAAATCGCTTTCCTCACTCCTGCGCATTACTTCTGTCAAGAACTGGGCAAATACATAAGATCGACCTCAGAGGAGGTTTTGTGTCCAACGGTTTTAGTGAAAACAAGGGTTTGTGGGGGGTTGCTCAGTCTCGCGGGCTCACAAAACCTTCTGGGTCGATGTTACCTAGCTTGTCACTAGCAGTTGTGTCCTACGTGCGAAGCGGGTTTTTGTCATGTTGACAACCCACACTACATTTAGATGATATTTTAAAGTCTCTTGAAAATTCTGCTCAGCTAAGTCAGTTAATTTTTAGGGACTGGTCAAAAAGTATAGGTGGGGGTGGGCCGGAGCAGAGAGGGGGTGGGTCATGAGGTTTTGAGCCTTGTGCAAGGGGTGGGTCGAGCAATTTTCAGCTACTCTTAGGGGGTGGGCCACCCTATTTTTTACTAACTACTAACGAGACAGTTGACTACACTTGTTATATAAAACACAGCCTGCTGGAATTATTGCTAAAATACTCACAAACCTGCTGTGCGAGAAAATACAAAGGTTGACAGGCCGCACATCTATACTGGCGTGGAACCCTCTGTTAACCTTTTTTTTCGGCTCTAACGAGCATGTTCTTTAACAATTTTCCTTTTTTTAAGGAAATGATTGGTGGTTCTTTAAAAATTTATTGAAGTTATAGTTAGTTGTGTATAAGATTCCTTTTTTACATTCAAGCTTTCTTTATAGTAGACACTGAGGGCTGGTATTGGGTCACGAATGACAATATTTCTTTTTCCTCCTTGTTGTTTTGTTTTAGGAGTTTAGACTTCCTTTTGTGACTTTTATTTCTGATAGTAGGTTTTCTATCAAAGATAGGGGGCACACAACGAGAATATAGTTCAAAACCACTTAAACATAGCATTGTTAAACGTATCTTAGTATTTAAACAGTAGATATAGGCGTACTTTTATCCCCAAAAAATTTTTCGTCTGTTCGGATCTCCTAGCTGAAAACCTAGTGATACGAACATTATAGGGATCAAAACTTACCTTTTCGAAAATTCCAGCCAGAAAAAACGTGACACAAGGTGAAATGTGTGCGCAAGAAGCTTTCCGTTTGCTTAAAATGTGTCTTTGCATCAAGGATAGATTTTTCCTTGAATCTTGTGCCTTTGTATACAACCGTGTCTAAAAACGCAGTCTCAGTGTCAAATGTTTTGGCCGTGAATTCAATGGTTGGGTGATGTAAGCTTGCTTGTTCAATGAAGGCTTCGATGTCTGGTTTACTGGCCATAGGGAAAATTTGTTTCAATATATGTCATGAAAATATTGGCAAAGGAATCAAAACTGCTGTCTTTGTGCCCATTGCAGTTCCATGGTCTTGTAAGTAGTGCTTTCCACTGAAGTGGAAGAAATTTGATTTGAGGATTAATCTAAGCATTTCCGGCAAGTAATGTGTAGGAACGGGTTGTCTTTGTTGAAATTTTCATATCCTTTGTGACAGATAATTTCAATATACCCTCGTTTTGCTGTATATTTGTGTCAAGACTCATAACGTCCATTGAAACAAGAAATGTTCGGTTTTTGACATTCGTCTTTTCAGTGAAAGGTATAATTTCTGTGATTTTGATGTTGGTTGTAGCAGTGTAACAACAAATTTTGTCAAGTACAGAACAAGGTTTTATTGCATTATTACGAGGAAACCGAACGTCCATGTTTTAACTAGGGGGTGGGTCATGCAATTTCCAACCTTGCTTTAGGGGTGGGTCAGTCATTTTTGTGCCGAAGGGGGGGCATGTGTTTTTTATCAACGACATTTTCAAATGCTCCTGCCCACCCCCGCCTATACTTTTTGACCAGTCCGTAAGTATAACAGGTCACAAGGTGTCCAAAATTCAATCTCAGTCCCTCTCGATCGATGTGGTAGGCTTAACACATTTTATGCCTGGTCTTTTTTACGAGAGGCAAGCCTAAACTGAGTACTTTTCTGTTTCTCTCTGCCTTTAACGACAAGAGAGAATCGCTTGAGGTCCATGATGACTTTTGTATAGGTAGTGCTCTTGGTATATGTAGCTGGTTTATTGCGGTGTTTGGGCACTGTTTCGATCTGTGTATCAAGACACTGACTCTTCCTCCGTTCCTCGCCGAGTTTTCTTTTAGGAGGAAACAGGAGACCAAAAAATTCTGGATGAAATCAGAATATACGCCAGCGCTGTACAATCTATCAAACAGTCAGCTACCTGAGCCACGTTTTTATGGGCTACCACTGTAAAGCTTATGATGCGAAGTTGGATATCGCCATCAGTTTTTAATACGAAGCAGCCAAGTAAAGTGGCCTAGCGGTTATGACAAATTTGCGTCTTAAAAAAATGAGTGTCTACGGTTTTAGAGTCAGCTTTGATGTTGTAAAAGGCTGTTTCAACGGTTTTAAGGCTGTGATTGACACAAATGCAAAATCAAGAGACGTGCGCACATTCCGGAAGTGCTTGGTCACCCAGAAGCACGTGGCATGCTAAAGGAACTTTGCGAATATCCCGGTGAGTACAACTTACTACTTTATTAATTGATTATAAAGTCATTTATGTAAAGGCTAAGATACGCAATCAGTGCTTGAACAGTACTTGCACTCACTCAGCGTGTGATAACGGAAAATTATGATTAAGAGGATTCGCTGCTATAGGACTACTGACGGTGACCGGTATCACATATTCAGAGCAGCTAAAAGATATTGGTTAATTATCTCAGCATTTGCTTTTTCAACGAAATGTCTTGAATTTTCTGTAACTTTCAAACCAGTCTGCTTGAAATAGTGATGGAACTTTTGGCTAT